GAGATGAGTCAAGCACTGGTCACGCTTCTCTTGATGTAGCCCAGGATACAGTTGGCTTACAGGCCTGGGAGTGCACATTGCTGGGTCATGTTGAGCTTGTCATCAAGCAACACTCCCAAGTCCTTCTCTGAAGGGCTGCTCTCAATCCACTCATTGCCCAGCCCGTGTTTTTTTCCAGAACTGCTGATTTTCTGTTACTAATGAGACAGACCTTAAGAAGGTGGAATGGTTGCTCTATCAATTCAAAACAAACCTGGACCCTCAGTTGCTAACAGTAGTTACTAATTTGTACAGTGCCCTGTGCTGGAACGGATGGCACTTTGTGTGTCTGCATGTTTGCACCCTTAACAGTGTGATTGTATGGGGGTAGAATAGTGAAACCATCTAAAATGGCACAACAAATACAGTCTACTGACTGGCAATAAATAAAAATGCCCTACTCTATTATATCAGCTATTTAGGTAGAGTGCAGGTATTCCTGCAAAAGTATCAAGGCAGGTGGCCCTGCCTTTGTTTAAATTTAAAAAAAAACAAACAAAAAAAAACCCACAAAAAAAGGCCATGAGAGCTTTAAAATCAAGAATGACCCGTAATTTCTGTATCTTACCCAGATGCAGACACTACTCATTTTCCTCTCATTTCCAAAAATTTCTCTGTGAATCATTGACCACCTGGCCTCCCCCCTGGTGGTTTAGGTGGTGATAAATATCCTGGTGAGAAAGAATAATTCCAGAGCCTCAGGGTATTCTTTGAACTCAAGCTCTGGCCTCCTCCTTGCAAAATATGGTCCTATGCAAAAGGAAAGGATGTTGGATAAAACATCCCCTGAAACGAGAACACAGAGGTGGGTGCATATTTCATGACAGACTGTTTTAACTTTCCAAACAGTCGCCTCTTTTATGGCCAGCAGCTAGTATTAATTATTTATCAGAACACTTATTTATACACTAAAAGCTAAATGCAATCCTTTCAGTGGAAGCCTGGCCGAGTGTGGGTTGAAATAAGTAGCTGTGGATAGTCCTTCAGGAGGATTAGTTTTGTGCACAGCTCTGCTCAGGGAAGAGCCCATTCACATTACTCTGTCTGCTGTGTGTCTCTGATAATGATATATATATGTATATGTGTATGGGAGATTAAGACTTAGCTATTAGTAAAACTATAGCTGTAGATGCACCAGCCCGGAGCATTAGCTATGTGTGCATTTTTCAGTGCTCTTATGGTCTGTGACAGGACAGCAGATGGTCCTCTCATCCTGTGGCTGCACAAGGACTAACTGAAGTTTCAAAATTGTTCTAGCCAGAATTCTGCAACAGCAGCCTTGGGTGCCAAGGCATGCACCCTGTAACTGTAGCTATACCGCGGTCTGGGACAAATGCATCAGCAGATACACGTGCACAGATTTTAAATTGCTGTCTGCATTATACTGTCTGGTTTGGGGATGTGCTATAGAATACCTTGTCTTAGCATGTTTGGACGAGGCGAGAAACTTCCATGGTAGCCTCTATGTGACATGAAGCAGGGAAAACAAAGACTTCCCTAGGTTGTGAAAAGCAACCCAGAGATTCAGCAGGTTTTTATCCTTGGCCAAGCTAAGCAAGCCAAGTACAATTCTTATTTCATCAGCTTCCAAGGAAGAAGAGAGAACCCCTTTCTTTTTGCTGCTTTTCTCCTGAAAGAAGCCCACCTTGCCCTGGCTTCTACTTCTGTATTTGTTCTGGCTCTGCTAAACCCATCCTTGCAGCAGAGGAGGGAGGATTAATTTGCTCCACTTGCCTGCACTTGGGAAAAGCAGTTGTGACCCTTCCTGTAGCCAGAGGGAAGGAAAAAAAGGTTTAAATACTTCTCTGCTCTTTTCAGAATTGAGTCTAAATCATCTCATCACAATACATGACTTCTGGTACCAATGTGTTTTCTTCATCAAATACTGACATGGTTTCTACACTGTTGTGCTGTTGCCATGTGATTCTGGTGGCATTACTGTTTAGATAAAATATTATTAGTTTTCTATAGCAACTGTTAATTTCAGAAGAATCTGTGATTTCATTGTAATTATTACTGACAGTAGATGTAATAAATGGTTTGGATTGACGTGCATGGTTTTCATTTTCTCCCAGCACATGATTTTTTTTATAGCTCAAACAATTTTTCTAATTTAAATGTTGATACAGATGGAAAATAAATTCTGTATTTGTATCTAGTACTCTTTTGGGTGGCTTACACTTCCTGAGGGGCATTGCTTTAACATCTCAATAGGAGAAGTAGACTTGTTGCTGTGATATGGGCATTCTTCAGCCTTTCTCAAAATGTGAGACAGGACACTAACTTAGTGCTCCAAGCATTTTCAGCACAGAGACCCTCTTTCTCCCATAGTCTAGTCCCTCAACCTGCTCTAATTGTCCTCAACTCCCTCTCAGGCCTGAGAATAAGATACGCTTAATCCTTGTAAATGATTTCAACCCCAGGTACCACTCACCTTGGAAAGTGTGGCGAGCCCTTGGCTCATCTTAAACTCAATGCCCTATTCCTGAAATGATGCCACAGGCTGGAGAAATTGCAGCTTTCTGCACAGTTCTGAGTTATCTTTTCCCTTAGCCACCTAGGCCTCAGCTTGAAATGTTTTGCTGGTCTTAGCCCAGGGTTTGCTTTGTTCAGAAGAGCCCATTTTGCAGGTATGGAAAGCAGTTTCCTGAATGCACCTGAGAAGCTGAAGCATTATAAAAGCTTTGCAAAGCAAACACTTGATGGAAGCAAATGGCGTATACATGCAGCTGAAGCTCAGCCAGCCCTATGGTCACAGAGGCAGTCAAATCAAAATTGCTTGTGAGTTAAATCAGATTTGGAACAGAAATTATCTTTTTTTTTTTTTTTTTTTTTTTTTTTTTTTTTCCTTACTGCCTGTAGAAAAATAAAACCAAATCTTTTTCTGGTGACATTATGGTTAAATATAATTTTTTATTCATCTAACTGAAAACTCAGTCACAACTACTAGTAACTCATCAGAATTTTCTTTGATCAGTGTTGCCCTAGGTTTGCAGTATGGGGCCATGTTTTCCTTAAAGTATCTCATTATAACTCCAAGATAACGCCTGTACTGTAAACCTCAAAAAAAAAAAAAAGTATATCTTTACTACTAGCATATTTTTCTCCCACTCTTCCTGAATGATAGTTGAACTCTAGAGAAGCTCATGATTCCTTGCATGCTGCCACATCAGCTGAGTTTGATCAGTGCCATTACAAAGAGCAATATAGCAGATAGCACAACCTCTAAACGTCCATAAAGTTTTAATAGGACTTCCAGAACTTAATAATACGAGTTAACAGGATCTTCAGACTGAAATGTGTGTAAGTCATCAGTCACTCAAGCATCCTGCTCTGTGCTTAAACCTAACCCTTTGGATTTGATTTACTCCAATAAAATGAAAGTTAGAGGAGCATTTTTCCAGCCTCACAGAAAAGTGGTGTCAACAAGACATTAAGATACTCCTGCTTTGATTTCTGGGGCTTTCAGACATTAGGCATTTATTATATATCAAAAAAAATGATCATGTTCTGAGGAAATGGCACAAAACCCAATACACAAACTTCTGCACAGAGCAATGCCATTAGGCACATCTAATCTAATTGGGCAGATCTTATTATTTGAATTGATAAGGTTCTGAAGAAAACTGGAAGCCAAGGATTTCCTTAGTTAAATGCGACTTGGCATTTCCTCCCTCCCTTTAGAGCAGCATTTCGGAAAGCAAGTCAGACAGTGCAGCTTGTCTGATGGCAAAACGTGCACGATGAAAGTACACAGACATGATGGGGCAAGACAGGGAAGCACCTGGCAGCACTGCCAACTATTTAAACTTTATGAACAAGGAGATTCTGCTATTATTCCACAAGCTGATCATCTTAGAGCAGGAGGATCACAATTAAAAACTGCTGAAGAAACATGGTAAAAACGACTTATTTTTGTCTTTTGTTCTGATAACACTGAGAGGTTATACATGGGGTAGGCCAGATTCTGCAGCATTTATTCACAGGAAAGGAAGATCCAATCAACGTAACTAAGAGCTGCAGAAGTTAGTGAAAAATGGTATGGTAAATTTCCTGGGGAAAAGGAAACTTTAATGAGTGTGTGTTTTGTATGTATGTGTGGTTACATTAGTGTAGTGCTTGTAGGAAGAGACTTATTCACCTCTAAAAATTTTGCTTTGAGTGTTTATTCCCAGCAGCAGTGACTTGGAGCCAGGGTGTTAGCTGTAAGATAAAAACACTGGGCTGCTGCTGTGCTCTGTCTCTGTAGTGATCTGAAGAGCAAACGCTGATTTCTTCAGTTTGCTTCTTACTACCTGAAATGATCTTTGTTTCCAGGCTATGAACGATCATGCTGTTTTTTAAAAAAATGTTGCTGACTGATGTTGTTTGGATATCAAACTGCTGGAAAAGATCACATCTGCAGATCTTGGCTTCCTCACAGGACAATTACTCTTACTTTAAATAGTGCATGTTTACTATATACATCCATGGAAAGCTTTCACGTTGTCATTTCAATACACTAATTTTGCTTAACTTTATTAGATGGCAGCAGATAAAAGCAAAATGCATGAAGTAGACTAAAGAATTTAAACCTTTTTTTTTTTTTTTTTTCTTTTTTCTTACATAACTTTCCATGCTCTAACTTCTGCAGTCTTTCATATATTTAGTCAGACAACTGTTTCCCCTCGGAGGGTGTGCATCCGTTTACATTGAGGGCACTTGCATGCAAACATGGCAAAGACTATCTCAAACTTTCAAATAATTCTTTCAATGCCAGGCTCTAGACAGCTTTCTGAAGTACTTGCTATACATAACTAGGTTCTAGCCAAACCATTTTACACACCGTGTGGCTATTTATACCTGCTCAGGAACTGTTTTCTTGTTTCCGAGTACAGGCACTGCCTATATAGTCATACAACTATATACCCAGAAGTATACGTTAACACAGCAATATGTGCAGAAGCTGAACAATAGCTTACCTAGAGAAGAATTTCTCTTCCTACTGTGCCGGAAAGAGACATCTGCTATTCGAATGTCTTCACATGGCTCCAGGTAAACTAGGGAGAGTTTTCAATTGATAGCAGTTGTCTGAGCAGCATCCTGGGAAGGTTCCTCTTGCTCCAGCCCCAGTAACTGAACTCTACCGGCACAGTCACATCTCATTTATAGACAGACTGTCCTTTTCAAAACAAGCAGCCAGCTGGAATGAATCAAACCTCTGTTCAGCACACTGTTAAAAATGCAGCTTCCTTCTTGGACATGGGGATTACACCGGGGAGCAGCCAGGCTACAGCAAAAAGGCTGCGAGAACTATTTAATCACCCGAATACCAGCTGCTCCCGTTACTACTGCCGGTGCTGCTGCTGTGCCTCCTGTTCGCTGTAGTCAGCCTCCCTCTCCCTCATATCTACAAGAGTATTGAGGCGGCTTTGCAGGGTGGTGATTGGCAGAGGCGGCCAATTCCTCCAGCTAATCAACCCCCAGACTTTCAAGGACTCGGAGCTGCTCTGATGTCATTCCAACCGAGGGGGGATGCTTCACGCGAGGACGCGGCGACAGAGGCTAATTCGGAGATGAGCTGCATTCCTCTCCCACTGCTGTGATTGATTAGATGCTCCAGGAGGATTTGCATAATCTGTCATTGTGCAGTTGGACCACCTCCCCTCCTGCCCGCCCGCCCAAAATGCGGGAGGAAAATGCCACTTGCAGCTTCTGATTTTTTACACCTGGAGCCCGCAACTGAAAGCCTGGGAAAAAGGAAAAGTTGAAAGAGTCATTTTCCAGCAGGAAAATGCTTAAGCCCCAGCTCCCCTCACCATCCTCAGATGCTAAAGAAGTCTCAAGAAAATCCCAACACTGGAACACTTCTTGGTTCCTACTCTTGTCAGGTCACTGATAAGATCACCTGGTACAAAAGGTGTTTTTTTTAAATATATGACTAAAATTAAGCAGAGTCTGCCCACCAAGTTGGTCACGAATGATCTCCCTGTCACCACCTCTGGATGGATGGCAGCAAACATGCAGTGCTCAGCGGTGCAAAGCATTTTTCTACTGTATGCCACACATTCCAACTATTTGTTGCATAATTTCTTATTAAAATCCTTTATCTCATTCAGCTAGAGATGAAACCTACCTCCGTAGCCAAGAAACATGTTTTCTATGTGTCTTTAAATTATATTACAGAGGAAAAAGTAAACACTTTCTATATTAAAAAAATTAGATTTTATACCAATCTAATTTTCAATTTTTGCCAGCTTGACACCTTTCACTCCAAAACTGTTCTTTGTATGATACACCTTGGAATTGAAATTCAGCCAATTCTGTGCAGCAAATGTGAGGAGAAAATAGTTTTGTTCAAGGAGACTGGAACAAACCCATTCTAAGATGATGAATGACGCTGTAAACTCAGATTTGAATCATAGGAGGGTCAGCTCAACCTTTCGTGTTTCCAAAATAGTGTAAATAAATGGTGTTCCATGCAGTTTACCATTTCCATCCTTCAGCTGGGACCTTCTACATGAAGAGCTATTTGCTCTCTGTGAATATCCAAGTTTCAAAGATGGTAGATATTCCTAACTGGGGACTAATTTATTCCTTCTGGCTAAATTAGAAACTGAGGGAAAATTAAAATTCAGAGTAAGTCTTTGTCATTTCCAGCAATTTCTAATTACAAAGGACTCACTGGGGGTCTTTTAAAAATGCCTTACACCTATGGCTGGCTCTGGATTTGGGTTTTGTTTTCCAAAGAGTGTTGTGAAGGGTGGGTGTGGGGTTCCCACTCTAACTGGGTGGTGAGTGGGTGCCTCCTTGCATCCTGTGTGAACATCAGATCTTAAGTCAGGCTGTAAACTAAAACCTCCAAATCAAGTGAGAGAGTCTCTTCCCAATATGGGGAAGAATTCTATGCAATTGCTCCAAAACCACAAAAAATGCGAGAGCTTCCTCTTAGTAATCGGGTGGTGTAAAAAAAAAAAAAAAAAAAAAAAAAAAAAAAATGTGCCTCTTTCTACTCATATACTTGAGTCCTAGCTGTACTTGAAGTACTGGAGACGTCCCTGTAAATGGAATGGTTTGGCTGCCGGCTGCGGGTGTGCTGCAGGATGGCTCTTGGCTGCCTCCAGATGTGGCAGGAGCAGCGGTCTGCCCCTTTGAAGCTGCTGCTGCAGATGTTCCTGGGGCAGGCCAGCGGCCAAGTGGTTACGCATACTGTTGAGAGTGTGTGTTAATTCAAATGCTAAAGGCGCTCTTTGAACTTCAATCCTTGACTTATGAGCGTGCCATGCTAGATGAATTCAACATGAAAAAGCATGGCTGTTGATTCATGCCGCCTCGATATCTGTTTGCTTTGTTAGCGATTCATTTTAAGTAGAGGATCAGGCGACTTACTATGCCAAGGTCTGCCCTTATTAGAAATGCGTGGAAATCAGTTGGCAGAATTGCTTCAACTCTCTTTATGTAACAAAATAGCACACCAACCCTTGGGAAAAAGACCATACATTTCTCTCTCATTTGGGTAGTATGAGAATTGAACTCTTCTTGCCTGGACTCAAATGCGCTTGAGTTATCGCGATTGGAAGGGCATTCTAGATATTATTCTCATGCTCTGCTTTAGGGAAAAACATGCAAGAAAGAAAATAGGGCAAACAGAAATGAAGTATGGATGGAGAGAAACAGTAAAAGAAAGGAAAATCTAATAATAAACCACCATATTAATGAAGTACCACATTTATGCTGAAATCGTTGACACAGGATGTGTGTTTTTCTGGATCTTACCTGCAGAAGATTTTGCATTAGCTGGTGGAAATTCTGTATTAGTTAATACTTGTATGATTTATTTCCCCCCTGTATATGTAGGCAATTGCAACTGCCTAGCTGTCCTATCTCAGTAGTTCAAAAGTTATAGATGAAACCTACCAGTACTTTGCCCAAAACTAGTATTAACTTTCTGGAATGTGACTTTTTTGTTTTATAACTGTGGGTTTGTGCATTGTGTAAGTTAACATGACTTTGAATCAGATTTTTATTTTTTATTTTAAAGGGTCATCTGCATTTACAGTAAAGGCAACTGTTGAAAATTCAGCATCCTTCTATAGATGCTTAAATCCAGAATCTAATGCTCATAGTTATCTATTCTAAGTACTATACTATCACTACAATATCTGCATATGTATTTTTAATGTATTTAACTTCACAGCACATTGGGGTAGAAAACCACAGTTCCTGCAGTTCTGTGCTTAGAAACATGATACAGACCAAGCAAAAACTTTCCAAAATTAATATGTAAAAGATATGGTATCTTCCTGGTTCACTCTTCTAGACAAATTGAAAAATTTCACTGAAATATTTGGATTGATGTTCTGTCATTGTTATGTCGAGCTTTTCTTTTCTCTGACTGCCCCCAGTTTTCTCACCTGTTATTACAGTGCTCTAATGACAGTTTAATAGGTATCCCCTACCTCTCCTCTCAAAACCTACATTGCAGCATGAAGGCCATGCTTCAAAAGTAAGTTGACTACAATGCATATAACAGTCTTTCAGCTAAAGACACCTTTATGGTCTTTATTGAAAGAAAGATGGCTTTTGACACTTCAGTTTATAACGTTTAAAAGAACAAAAAATAACTATTGCTGAAAACGCCACCTTTTCCTTGAGCTGGGGAGACTTCTTATGAACTTCCACTGTTGTAATTAAACAACAGTGTGGTTTTTATTAAACACACAGAACAGTTCCTCAGCTTGTGTAAACTGTCAAATTCAGAGGAACTATGACAACTTGTATGAGTTATAGATTAGTCTCTAATTCTCTAGCATCTCCTCAGGATATTCACAACTTAATTACACCCATATCAAAAGTGCAAGAAACATACAGGCATAGCAGAATGTGCTTTTTTTTTTTTTTTTTTTTTTTTCATATATTTCATTAAGAAAAGTCTGTTTGTTTTTTGGTTTTGATGTCTCGATTAGTTGTTAGGGTTTTTTAATCTGAATATTTTGGCTCTGACTCAAAATGTGTTAGAGAGTTTATATGCTAAGAAATATAGGGATGAAATATAGATACACTTGGAGCTGAGTTTCATGCATCACAGCTCAGTTAAGGCATTCATGTCTTCTACTGAAAATGCCTGCCTTGTCACGGGTTACTCCTATTTCCCAGACGACAGTCGAGAACATGCTGCTAGTAGTCCACTTAAGCGTGAAGCACTGATTTGAAACAACAAGAGCAGAAATGATGCAAAGATCTTACAAGCAAAACAAAAAAAAATTGCAAAAAATATGAATTAGATTCCCTGACCTCTGACTGGTTTCAGCTACAGTTTCTATTCAGCTTCTATCATCCTCCCCTGTATAAGTTGGACACATTTGTGCAAATGATAAAGGCAAATCAGTGCATACCAGTTCTGTAATGACCTTTATCTTAAACTTTTATTCCATTGTGAAATATCTTTGATATCCTAATGTGTTTTTGTTCCTGTAAAGCTTCAGATATATTAGTTTCAGAGAGTCTGTTGATATAAACTAATGTTGAAATATCTGTTAAACCAACATACATTCATTAACATCCAGCATTAGAGCTGCTCCACATCTCTCTAATTACATTACTATTTTATGTCTTAAGTGCTTACTCAACTATAAAAATATAAACTTTGGTCTTTTAAGTACTGTTATCATGATACTACTGAAGCAAAAAAAGAGTTTCTTCTGCTTAATCCAGAGTCTGATTTGTGTAAACCCTTCCTGAGTTATCAGCTCACTCTGACACTGAGACAAGGGTTCATGTTGTGTGAGAGAGAAGCACATCTTCATGTTATCCATAAAGCCTTTTGGGCTCTTTCCCACCATTTTCCTTGCAGAATCCTTCCTGGGTTCAACTTTGGCCTGAAGTCAGGAGAAATCTCCTGGGAAGTAAATGGGGGTAGGACTGGAGCTTAGAAAGAGAAGAGCTTCTTCCCAGGCCACACTTTAATGCAGCAGAAGAGACTGAAGCACTAGAGGATGTTTATGTTGTGCTCGGTCCCCTTGTGATTTGTGTTTGCACCTGTAATGCCTTTGCAATGTATGGGAGCTGTTTCTCATTTGGTCTGTTTTCATGAATGCTGTTCTTGGACCTCCCTGCTGATAAGCAAGTCAATCTATATTTATAAATCCTCACAGAAACTAGACTAAAAGCAGGTCCAATTCATCCAACTGCCTTGCTCAGTAAAGCCTGTTGCTATCTTCACTGCATTGCAAACTGTTGTAAACATGGATGTTTGTTTATCTACAAAGTCTGGTAGTGCTCACATTTCCTCTCTCTCTGGAAGTATGAAGAATCATTTCCTGTATTTCTTTCCCCTGGGGGGCTTATCCTTCATCAGAGATCATCATATATTTTTTCTCATCCCCAGAACTGCAGACAGCAGAAGTGTTGTCATCCCAGTGTGTGTCAGATATGGTGGTGTTCTCTGGTGCCTGCTCACAACCCCAGTTCAGGCTGTGGAAGTGACTTAATTTAATATGTAACACATTTTGTACAGCAGTGACTTACAGAAGCTTGAGGAACTCCTTACAAGAAGGCTGTGTACTACTCTTCTCCG